CCAAACAATGGATGTCAGTTATACGTTTTCCCTATGTGCTGTATCAACGAAAATTTAACCAACCCATTCTTCATGATGCTGCAACAAAAGGACACATTTTATGGGCAAAATATTAGCAGCTAATAAAATGGTGATGTTAACCAGTGGAAATGTAGTCAGGAATCACAGATAGCCAACTACATACTGTATGATAACTCAGATATACTTACGCTGATGCTTCATGGATCTCACTTCCATCATAAACTCCACTTCCTGACAAAACCTGTGAATAAATTGATCCACATGCATGTTAATTATATTGTACATATTGCTTTATTTTTGGGTTCCTTAGGGTGCCCTCACTCATAACTCTAATCCTTACCTTGCCCCTCCAGTGTCCCCCCCCCCCCATATCAAATGTATATGCTTCTCTTCAGTTATCTGGAGGGGCATATACAATTACATTCAAGTGCTGGAGGTGTTGCTATTTCAATAATAAATTACTTTTAATGAATTTAGCCAATAAAACTTAGACCTTACTGGAGGGGGTATGGTTTAGATTAGCAAAGTTTGTGATGTATTTTGTTGTTTTGTCAAATGAATCTCGTCTTAGGTTTTTATAAAGGATACATGATATGATAAAGTGCTTTCCATCTTCTACTATATTTTTTGATATTGTTTGTCTTCCAGATTCCATTTTTAAGTGATGATTACTCAGTAAAGTGATGATTTCTCAATGATCTACATTTTTTATTATACTGAGATAGTTTTCAAGTTTGAAATTGTTTTTGAACTTCCAGTATGTTCTAATTTTTTTTTTCTTTTTTTACTGGAGTCATCATTAATTCATCATTTAGTGTTTTTATTCAGTGTAATTATTAAATTTATTAATTTATTGTTTGTCTCAGTCAGTTGAGTATTGTTGATACTGGATAATTGGGATGTTATTAAACTGTACCATTTAGCTTCTAGTTGTTTGTTCACCAAATCTTACCATCAGTGATGTAAGTTGTTTACTGTAGCGTTTAATAGTGGCTGAATATTATGCCCCGCCCACATTACATAATAACAACAACATAACTGAACTCCGTGTCTGAACTAGGCTTACCACTGCTACTTTGCTACCTTTCTTCCCATGGTGACATGACCTGACTGCTATATAAGAACTTCCCAGTAGTCTTCTTGCCAATGTGGATCTGGAAACGAAATGAGAAGCCAACATCGTGACGGTGAAGCAAGTACAACAACCACTGCGCATGAGTGGTACATTCATAGTTATAAGTGTTTACGATATAGTTTTTATTAAATTGTGAGTTATGTGTTTACATGGTTTAGTACAAATATTGTATTACTAATACTATTTGCCACAATGATTAAATATATTCGTATAATCAATTATTAGTTAAAAGATTTTTACAAAACTCGTTCTAAAAATGCATGATTACTGACCCGGAAGTAAAAGGAACTAAAGTTCAAACATGTGCAGTGATAAACATGAAACTTATTTGGCGTTATGCTGTTGCAACTGCCACCGTTCTTATATCATACACTATATGGAAATTATCTATGTATCTTCGGGTATTAACACTGGATGAAAATCACATAAAATATGACAAACAGCTAATTGGTCTTAATTTTTCGACGGTTTTGGCTGACTGGTCGAATTTGGATTGTAGAGAAAAAGAAATATTGCTCGGCAAACAAATGTGTAGACCAGAATGTAAGCCGGGTTATTTTAGTTTGGATGGTTTCCGTGAGTGTCATCCGTGGTTGATGTGTGAAGAAATCAGAGAAGAAGTTAAACAGACCGGCGAATTAGTCGGATCCGGGGCTGTTAAACAGGTACTGCTGTTTTATTGTACATGTGTTTTATTCTGTGTATCGCGCCATCATCGGTGAGTTGATGTTTTAATACGTATGGTTTGTGTACAATCTGAATAAGTAAGATAAGATATTTTGAGCTTTATTTATTTATTTATTCGTTTTTTTAAATATGTGTATAATTATTTGTTTTCATTATACATTTTATTTTAATTTACTATTTATTTGCTGGCAGTTTTTTAAGAGTTTTGGTAATCACAAAAGCACATAATAGTTAAAGTTTCGGGGTAATACAAAATAAGTTGTGTGTAATAATAATATAAAACAATTACAAAATGATAAAAATATATAGTAAAAATAAAATTAAATATATAAAATTAAACTAAATTCATGCTGTACATCAGATTTTAATCAGATTGGGTTTGAGTTGTTCTATATGTTGTTCCACAGTCTCTCTATCAGAGGAACTGTGTTTGTTCATAAAGTTGATAAAAAACAGATGAGATAATATAGTCAATCACATTAACCTAAAAATCGGCTGAAACCCAAATCTGAAACCGCGCTTAAAATTCAGCATCGTCTCATTTTCTTTTTCTTTAATTATCAGGTATACCTAGCTGAATGGAAGGGATATCAAATTGCTTATTGTAATCTTACTACAGCGAGTTACAAAGATGACTTCCATCATGGTCTGGAAATGATCAAATCATTCCAACACAGTGAATTTGTTGTACAGTTAGTCGGCTACTGTCACAGTGATGATGTAATGCTCTTAGAATACCATCCTTTAAAATCATTTGACAATATGAACAGTATATTATCTCAGGAAACATTTTCCCATTTCAACACCGTGCTGTTAAGATTCCAACTTTGTATACGCTATGTAGAGATTCTGAATTTCTTGCACACTGGTCCGCTTGGAACATACGTGATGTGTGACTCTAATGACTTATTCAAGACCTTGTCACAGTACCTGGTGACTGATGATATGAGTCTTGTAGTTGCAGATTTAGATGCTCTTCCAAACGTCGACCACAAGTCCGGAATTACCGCAAAATGTGGACATAGGGAGCTAATCGGAAGGTTTGTAGCTCCTGAACAGCTGTGGCCATACGATGACACAGATTTTAATGATGATAATATGCCTGGATATGATGAGAAAACAGACATCTGGAAAATTCCAGATGTGGTTGATTTCATATTAGGAGACATTCCAGGAAGTGATGCTGTTAGATTTCATTTATTTAAAATTCATAGGAAATGCAAAGAAGTGGTTGCTAAGTTACGACCTAGTACACTTGATATTATTAAAGAATACAAACTAACTTATAGTTACTTTAGGAATACAAGAAGCTGACAAAATGTATGAATTTATATTTTAACACAGTAACCAAAATATTAACATTTTTACTTTTTAAAAAATGAAAAGTAATAAAAAATATGTTAAAAAATAGAGCCACATGGATTTATTTATTTTACTTAGTATGTTTTTTTGTGTTTCTTATGCATCTCTGACAGGAAAAAACAGAATGCCAAAATCAAATTTTTCAATTTTGAAAAATCAATCTGTATATTATTTTCAATATTATTTGGGTAACTTTGTTCAAGACTTACAGCCATGGAAAGTTAGATGTCTGATTAACTGGTCAAGGATAAAAAAGAATTGATACAAAAATGTTAGTGGAATTAATTATGGCTTTTATTGTAAAGGTGAAATCATACATTTGTATCTTGAACATTACAGCTGTATTTAAAATTGTGTTGAAAGCCCATAGCAGACAGGAAATAAACTCAGATTTGATAGCAAGACTATACAGTATTGTTTATGAAGGTATTTTGTTTGAAAAAAATTGTGAATCTGAAAATGAATCTTTATTGCAATAACTTCCATAAATTCAAATTGTCATAAATATTGTAACCAATCCACAGTGTGTATTACATATGCGTATCAGTGCTCGTTGTTTGATTTCAAAGACTGAGTTGAACGATACTTTGCATTTCATGAAAATATGAATTTGTTTTTTGGACAATTATAAAATATTTTTAAGATCCTCATGCTTCATTCAAATCCAATAAGTATACTTTCAATGTCTACAGAAGCCATTGGGTAACTCACATTACCCATGATTCATTGCAGCTTTTCTTCAGTCATTTGTGGCATGTGATTATTGGTCTAGTGGTTTTCAACCAACATTTCAATTAAAATGTCTGTAAATATAAATATATTTAAAGCAAATTCATATCTTCATGAAATGCACAGTATATCCCTTATTTTTATAAGAATCTTATAAAGATTTACTAATAATAAATTTCTAAAGGATTTATACAATATTCCATTACTGAAAGAAACCACTCTTCATGTACTCAGAAATTTCATAAAATCATGAATGAATGAATAAGCTTACCTATGTGTTTGTGTGTTAGTGTAAACAGCTTGAATGAAGACCATTTTGAATACAAGATTGTCAAAACTTGGACACTGCTCTAACGTATTCTAACTTGGAGAAAAGTGAGCTCCCCACTAAACATTATTTGTTACTATTTTGTTATATACCATTGTGAAGTGTCTACTTGATAAATTTAACACAAATCAGATCTTGAAAATTCTGGGGATTAATCCAGTTTAACCCTTTGCCCTTTAATACACCAAAGTCTACTTTTGTCACCTTTTACATATAAACTGGCATAACTGTTTACACAACATTTACCGAGGGTAAGATTGTGTGGTCAATGAAAAATTATGCAAAAAATTGTAGAAATAATACATAAAAAAGTGCAAATAAATTGCATCAAATTTTGGTGTTTTAGATCATAGTAAAAATTTTCTTACTAGTGCGTTCAAAGGTTAATGACTAGATTTGTCAGTTATCCCGATAGAGGGCGCCCGTTTTGTGACATAACGGATCATCCTCGAAAGCTGGACATTTCATCGTCCACTTGCCAGTGTTGTTCCGTTGGAACATTCCCCCCCTTCACAACCACAAGTGGAGTGCTGTGACGGAACATTCACCTTTAAAATTCAAGATGGAACATTTATTCAGCGATAATATAATATAAAATGTCAAATGAACAGTGATATTATGCTTTCTTATTAAAGGGTGCCAGTCGTCGTGCCGCGTCCTGTTCGATATGGGACTCGTAGCGACGTATACAACACGTGTAAAATACATTGTTTATTTACATGAAATTCGAACACGCATCGCGCTTTAACTATTCTAATGAAAACAGTGTTCACAGTATCACAAATTTATAACATGAACAATGACTAACTAACGACCACTTCTATGAGATTCAGATCTGTGGAAAATGTCATAATCCTCCTACTATTTCTTGTAAAAGATAAACGATCATAAACGTCAAGCAGAATTCAAGTCTAGCACTACTGGGTAATTTACTGCACATATTATGGGAGAGAACGTTCCATTGTGTCCCTGCACTGTGAATAATAGAAAACCATTGACATACTGGAATTGCAAAAAAAGTAAATGCAAAGTTTTTGAAATATTTTGATTCGTACCAATAATAATACATGTATATGGATTGTTCTTCTTGTGTAACCGGGTGAATTGTCGTGGAGAAATAATTTCACCATAGAATCCAACCACTGCAGTCCAAAAATAAAAAAAATGTCGAGAGTTTTTCAAGGTGACCTCATGTATTTCATTTTCCGTATTTTAATGACAGCATGAAGAAGAAGACATGATATTTTATTCAGCCCGAGCTTCGGGTAGTGTGTAGTTTTACGTTGACCGCTAGGTGGCGCTATTTACATTTACTAACAAAATGTTCATGCACAGAGTGTAGAGGTGGGCGAGGGCATTTTACGTTTTTACAGGAAATAAAATGAAAGTTCCATATTCAGTAAACAAAGGTTTTTACACTTTACAGATAAAGCAAATTTCTCATTACAATTTACATTTTTATAATAGATTTGATAATTTGTGTTTAAGAATCAAAATTGCCCATGTCTACGAATGTACGTGCTTTATTTATTTAAAATTATTACGAAAATAAAAACAATTGATTACAGCTTACGAAAATATTCCTTGCTGATATCCTTTGCCGATCCTCACTGAAGTTTATAAATACTATACGTTTACTTAAATTATCTTAATTTATGGAGCTAGTTGGTACTGGACTGGTCATGATGGATTAGGTACATCATGAAGTTAAAACTCCATGGGTACATGCCCATTGCTTTACATGTAATACCCATCCCATGCCGTGATCTTTTTAGATCATAATCGCAGGGGTGACTAGACACCTAGAAGCCGTTTCATAATTATTTAAAGAAAGTTTGTCATAAAATTCCGTGACAACGTTCAGTTCATTATGTACAACAATCATAAATCCATGGTGACATAACAAAATCATTATATATAGAAATTTAATATACCAATTTCACAGCCTCACAAGATGTTACGCAAAATAGCATTTTTAGAACTTTTTAACCAAGACTGTTGTTACAGTATGCTGTACTGTGCAGGGCGTGTGCTCGGGCTGTTTAAGTTATCATAAGGTCACGCAAGGTCGCATCGGACGTAATGTTTGGTCACGTGACATATTTCAAGATGGCGGTGATTCCATAAAACAAGTTCTCGTCTGGTCTGCATTTTGTATTTCATGTTATCCATAATGCCTCTTAAAAGACCCTCATCTGCCCGTAGAAACATACGACAAGAAACATTCAGCTCTTCTGTGAGGTATGTTTATTAAAAAAATGTATTTGCACTTTGAGAAATATTCTTGTCTTTAAGTTCTTGCAGCGCAGTGGTGCGCCAATCTCGAGTTGACGGGACCGTTTGAGTTTGAAACTAACTCGTGAGCCCTGGCGCAACAACCGATTCGACATTGAGTGTTTATACTGAAAGAATTATTTCAACACAGCTATAAAAGAACCGTTTGCAAAGTGTATGCAAACAATACTGAATTGGTTTCGATTTGACATTGATTTGAAATTTGATTAAATTCCAAGTGTGTAAACTATAGAAATAAAAATAGAATAACTAGAATGCATGCTTTAACATTTATTAACACTGAATACAATATTAAATTTTTTGTGTAATAGTGCTTTTTAAAAATAATAACAAATAATGTGACGTCACTGAGCCCAAACACTTTCGATCTGGTGATCTTGTGCAATAACTGATAAGATGATGAAAAATTATTTTGTCTATCCTGTTACAAGATGTCATGTAGCATTATAATACAACTATAATACTGTGGTGTTTTGATTTTTGTATAAATTGAAATTATTCTTTGGTATAAAATTTTGTGAATTTACTGTTTATTGAGTTAATCATGAGTCACGAGTATTTCATCTTCTATTGTACATGTATTTATAGCAATGAGAGCAAATTCTTCTACTGGTGTTTTTGGTTGTTTGTACCTTCCTTTTCTATTGCCAATTTATGACAACATAATCTAAATTTTGCAATTTTTTTAACTTGTTTTAAGTTTCAAGTTTATTTTTGAAAGTACTGTTCATGTATGTAATTTAGCATTTTCATTTTTGTTTTTAATATTCCAATTTTTCTCATAGTGGTTTTTATTTTTGTTTTTATTTCTAGTTTTGTTAAATTGTGTTCAAGAGTTGTTAACCATGTCCTTGCTTGCATATTGTACTCGTCTTTGTCTTTGTAAGCATAGTATGCTAAGTTACGTTTGTCTATTTTTTGGAGGTATAAATAGTAGTTTATTTTCGAGCTATAGACTTTACCAATGAGAGGTTCTCTAGCGAGCTCCATTCCACATCCTATTTTGCTGTCTCCACATTAAAAATTTGGCAACAGAATTTTAAGGTGAAATTTTGTTTTTTGGTTAAGAAAGATACCCGTATTTCACTAGCATAATAATAATATTTATTAGACGCATACAATCCTTAGAAAAGGATAAAAAGGGTCTTACAAAAGGAAATTTAAAAACTATAAAAAAAAAAACTATTCAAAATCAAAAACAAATATGAATAAACAATAAAGACAATTTGCAACCAATGGTGAATACAGAATAGAAAATGGTCACTAATTGTAACCTAATACACTGATAGTTGTTGCTGTTTTGTTTCATAGCTGTTTTTTAAGAAGACAGCTAAGGCTGGTGCTAGAGTATGGTTTCCCATAATCAATATAAATTTATTCTGACTGTTTTCTTTATCAAAATTTGGAACTTTATTTTGTGAAGTGAGGAATAATTTGTCCATATGATGACTGTAAGCGTGGCATTTCATTACAAAATGTTGCTCATCCTCAATTATATTTTGGCTGCACATATCACATGTTCTTTTATCTAGCGACATATTATTATGTCTGCCTTTCTCAATTTTAAGGTCATGGTTGCTTGTCCTGAATTTTGCAATTA